GCAGAAGCAGATTTAAGGAAAGGAAACACTCTTCCAGTGGCTTCAGAAGAAAGCTGCACATCCATATTTCTCTGTAAGGATTCCTAAATAACCCATTCAAAACCAAACTACTCATTTTAAACATCAGATAGCCTGAGGATCCCTCTGCAAGTTCTCCTTTGACATCTGCCTTCAAGAAGTGCCTAAGATGCACCAGGACCACTTCATTTACAGAACCATGAGCTCACAGGCTGGAAGGGACACATGGAGATCATCTAAACCCAATTCCATAGTCACTCAAGTAAAACACAATTAGAAGCATTGGCAAGGTGGACACCTGGGACCATAATTGCTTGTGGGAAAGTAACCTTCACTTATGACTGCTGTGAACCAAAAAAACACTTGATCAAAATTTTAACAGTGGATAAATGCCACACTAAACATTGAATCAGCAAAGAAATACTTCCTTTTTCAACACTAAAATTTGACAACATTGCAAGTATACTTTATTTTTATGTTTACTGGTCAATATTTTGGACAGCAAAAATTACCAAAGTCACTGTAGTGTCAAACTGTTTCAGATTCACTCTTCACCAGCATTTAGAAACCTGAATAAGGGTTAGTGAGATAAAAAGAGGAATAAGTAAAGAAAAAAAAAGGTACTCCTGGAATTGATTATTTACTGAGAAAAAAACAGCATGCAGTTCCTAAGAAATTTAAAATCAACTAGAGATATAAATGTCATTTATTTTTAAACTGATCTTCAGTCACAGCACTTCTGGGAAAACCTCTTCAGAGGCTCACATGAAAAAAAGAGTGAAGCACAAATTCAGATTGCTGATGACGATGGGAGCAAAACACAATCTGGAAAGCTGAAACGCGGTACTTACATTGAACAACAAGAGGGAGGAGCAGCCCATGAAGCATGGACACCAGAGATTATAACTCTTCTGTCTGAAATTAGATGCAGTATGGATGTCCCATCCACTGAACATGCTTCACTCCCATTAAGTCCTCACCCATAGATCCTACAATACAAGGTCCCCTGAGGAAGCTTTGTGCAATCCTGAAACTGCATAGCGCCATCCTTGCACCCCGAGCTCCCTCCCACCCACCCGGTGGTCTGCCTGCTCCCTACCCAACCCTCCAGCCCCTCAGCCATGCTGGGCACAGTCCGTGCAGCAGACATCAATTTCTGCAAGCAGCTTTGACTGGTTTATCACATTCCTTGTGCAAGAAATAGGGTATCTGCTAGAGATGCAACCATCAGCTATTGGTACACCAGAATTGAAAGGAGGAAGAGAGGTAGGCATTAACCTTCCACCCTAATTCTATCCAAGATGGAGGAAAGATGGTTCTTTTTAAAAAAAGTCTGTGATACACGTGGACGATTAATACACTTTCCACACTTCAACAAATGGAAATTAAGAGTTAATGAATCGTGCTGCTGGCCAGCCCTGCCTAATAATCCCATAATGTCTGGGATGCAGCATATAACTGAACTCCCAGGCAACCCAGCAAAACTCAACAAATGGCCAACAGGCCACAGAAATTCCATGCTTTTCCTTTTTTTTTTTTGGTAGAAAAGCATCCCTGAGAAAACCACTTGATTACATTTCTTTCTCATCACACCTACAGAACGTTTTCACTTCTTACACTTGGGAGTTTCAGCTCTGCCACTGAGCAGATACTAAACACCTCACAAGAACAATCCAGGGCTGACCAAGGCCTCCATATTGCTACGCAGACACTCCACATGCAATCAGTGCGCACAAACCCTGTTCAGCAACATGCAGACTCATGCTCACTCCCACTAGGAGCTCCTTCTTGCCTCCCTTTGGAACGTTTCTATGATCAGCACAGAGCACACAGCTGCTCAGAGCAGGGAAGCAGTGCTCCAAGAACCAAGAAACTCACCCAAACAGAGACAGTCCCCATGCAGCCACCAACTGCAGGAGAGCCGAGGTCAGCATAACCCCACAGACCTACAGTGAGGTCCCATGGAGCACAGGATGGGTGACAGTGAATCACAGTCTGCAACAGAGGAATTTCCCGTATCCACTGTCCTGTGTGCTTCTTTCCAGAGCGAGCTTCCAAACCAGTTTCCTGCTCAGGTGATAAGCAGAATTCAATCTTTCTTCAGTTGGATGAATAAAGTTTTATTTGTTCACCTTTCTGTCTGTATCTCAATGTTTGTCATAGTCCAAAGCATCTCCACTAATGCAACAAAGCAGTTCCCCTAAGTGGTGACAGAATCTCTGCTCTTCCATCTTAGCATTCTTTTCATGTATTTCTTAGACACCTCCCTGAAAATTTGCACGGAACAAAAGGTTTAACCATTACCGACTCAAAGATGTTTCTGCTGCTGAGACCCTCGAGTAACAACTTTAGGATACTACCCACTCATTTCACAGGTTACAAATTCACACTCTGATTTTATTATTTCAAAGCTCACCTGTAGGAAAATGGAGGTATGATACTGTGAAATCAGCACTGGGTGGAACTGCTACCTCCCAGAGCATTTAAGCACAAATTGCTTCATTTTAATAAAGGCTTAACAGTTTTCAGCAGTTCAGAAAATACTCCTAAATTGCTTTGTGTTTTCCTTTTTCACACACAGTATGTGTATGGCAAAGTTTCAGATAAGTATTAATGAAAGAAGATATTCTCTATAATGCATGAAATGGCCAAAACTGGAAAAATTCTTACACAGCGGAACACTTTTCTGCTAGCAGGCATCCCTGCAACATACAGCCAAAGTGGCCTGCCTGCTGAATGTGTATTGTACAAATGCAAGGGGGGACTGGAGGACTCTGTGCACTGATCACTGATAGGCATTTGCTGGATAGAAGCTGCTCCTCAAAGGCAGCTCTCAGCCTCCTTGCAGCATGCTGAATCAGTGAGGCCATCAAAGAGGCCACACAGGAGCCCACAGGGACAAGTTTCTGTCCCCAGCTGCCATCCCAGCTCCCTGCCTGCAGCAGCACAGCCAGGCAGGCCATGGGGAAGGGCAGGCAAGCAGCTTGCTGTCCTCCACGACTTGGCTATACTTCCTCCTCCTGTGAGGTCTCGCTTCTTCCTCCCCATGTGGCCAACAGGTTGCATGTGCTTGAGGGGCACAGGACACAGCACATCACCCCTCCTGCATTGCTTTCTCTCAATGCAACTTTTATTCTGCTTTCCTCCTGGCTACAGTGAAGATGCTAAAAGAATTAAAGATACGATTCTTTTACTTTGGGCAAGCAAGAATGCCTTATTCCAAAACCCACAACAGATATACTCTTTCATTAGTCAAGCATTTTTCTGATGGACTCTTATTATCACTTGATAATATATAATATGACATAAACATAGCGTGAAGCTCCTGAGCAGAAAAATGTTTTACCTAAAGAACAAGAGAATATTTGACAGTAATTCAGACAGAGCACAGCAACGCACCCCTGTCAGTGTTCCTCAGAGCCCTTTCAAAGCAGCAAGGGCAGAAAACCCTACCATCCATACTAACATCACTGTGGTTGCTTTCCAAATTCTTATCTTTCCTATCTATAACAAACATAATACAGCCAATTTCACTGTGTTCACTGCTTCTAGAAGGCAGAGAAGTCATCTTATGTGCTAGCGCAGCCAGAAGAGGGGAAGGAGAGAGAGGGGGCACCTTCCAGAATCCTGTGTAACAGAAGTTTTCTCTGCTTCATCTCCAAAAAATTTAAAGAAATTCAGCTCACTTAATTACACGAATAATCCAGAGGGAGCACAAACACTGCTGGAATTTTTGGTCAATGACACCAGCCTGAATAAAATACTAACAACAACAAAAAATCCATTATTTTGGCACTGAATATTTTGTTTCAGTCTGAAGAATGGTCCCCTCCAAGCACGAAGAGCACACGGCCATTCCCCTTTCTCCACACCACAATTAATGGATGCCAAAACTTGCTTGCTTCATTCAGATTGAGGTTTCCTAGCACAGCTATGCATACCTTACCCTAATACAAACCACAGGTGGTGCAAACACAAGTTTTGTAAACAACATTACTTCACATTTAGTTGACTTTGTAATTTTCATTACTGAACTCACACAGAAACAATAAAGTGCATTCTAGTGAAAGATCTTTGATTTAAAAATGTGCACACTTCAAGTACTTCCCTTTCTGAAAAAAATGACTGTTTCTGGATGTTCATTAAACATAACTTGGAAATAAAGTGCTTCTATACATAACTCCAGGACTCCACAGTGAAATACTGCTACAAAAACATGACTAATTATTTCTTTCTAGCTGAAAATACCCGAAATAGTCTGCATTCTTGCCTGCAGTTTCAAGGTGTTCAAGAACACACCTGGAAGAACTCTGCAAGAAACTTTGCCTTCATTAGGTGTTACAGGCAGCTGACTTTCACCTTTCTGTAGCTTCTTACTTACACTGACATACACTAAATACCCATATTAAGATCTAATAAGGTTTTAAGAAGTAAAAATGCTACTAGAAAAGGTGATACTAATTCAGATGCAGAACAGTAACTGCCCTCTGCTACTGAGACAGAGCCACTCCACTACAGCACACTGTACTTCATGGCATAGTGTGTAAACACAGTGACTTTGGAATATCTGAGAGCTGAAGCAAAGCCATCCAATCTAAAGAAGCTGAAGTTTCAACAGAAAAAAAAAAAAACAACAACCAGCACAAAGGCCTCCAAACACCCTCTCCTATGCTCACCATGTGATTACAGTTCAGTTGTCCATCAAAATATGCATGTTACAATTCTCAGACTCCAGACTCCCGAACCTCCATTCTCAATTTCAGCGAGCTCAGATAGCCACCAAGCAGCCTAGGAAATGACACAAGCGAATCAGAGCTCAGCTTGCTTACTTCATTTAGGATTATACTCACAGGCTGACTGCAAAAAAAGGCTATCAAAAAATCCTCCACAATCAGCACAAGTTCAATTGTCAGAATGTATTTCAAGACAAGTTGTCTTTGAAAATGAACCAAACTGCTGGAAAAGAATGAAGGAAACTTTACCTTAATTGGAGCACGGCTAAACTGTATTTTTCTGTTGGCTGGGATTTCATCTTCATCTGGCAATCCATTAATCTCCGAATATTCCATATCAGGTTCATAACAGTTATTCTCATCACTGTCATCCTGGTCATCCTGTTCTGTCCCTGTCTCTCCCCAGTCAGAGTTATACCTTGATCGTACCCTATACACGTTGTAGTCAGAATGCATGTACACGTGGGAACTCTGGAAATTATTCCCATCTTCATGCACTTCTTTCTCACTTGCCTCATCATAATGGGTCTCAGCAGCATCTGAAGCAGCATCTGCTGCCAAATCACCCCCTGAAACTAAATTTCTTTGTATTTCTGCAGCCTCAGGTCTATCAGCAATACCCTCTGCATTTTCTGAATGTTCCTTTTGTCGCAACAAAATTTCTGCATCTGTTTTTGCCTTACTCCTCGCAGAACTGTCTGCAGACTTTTCGCGGTCAAGCACCAGATCCTGTTGACTGACCCCAGGGCTCTCAACAGAATCAGCACTTGGTTCTGTGTTCTTCTTGACTTCTTCAGCTGTTTTTGAACCCGACACAGTGCCTGTGGTCGCCTTCTGTCTCAGTGCAGGAGGCGCGCTGTTATGCTGAGAGTGCTCAGCAGACATCATGCCGGATCCCTGCTTGGCTGGAGGAGACCACGTGCCGGCATCCTTCAAAGGACTGAAGCCCTCAAGGTTTGCAACAGGGGAGGAGATGTTAGTGACGCTGGATGACAGGTTGAGCGGGTAGTGACCGGTTACAGAGTATTCTTCATTGTTCTCTGACTTTTCCAAAACAACAACGTTGTGTGAGTCGGCGTTTTCAAAAACCGCACTGAGCTGACTCACAGTTGGAGAGACAGTCTCCGTCCTGGGGCTGAGGCTGTCCAGGGAGTCAGTGCTGCCCCTGTGCAACTTGGAGCTGCACCACTCCTCTGCCAGCTCGCTGGAAACCGCCCTCTCCTTCTTTGGGGAATAGCGATTGGAGTGTCCCACATCATGAGCGTTGCGCTCAAACATCTTGCGCGTTTCGGTAAACTTGGAGTAAGAAGGGCCATCATGGATGGTGTCAAACCTGCTAATCCTCTCTGAAACAGAAGATTCCAATTTTACAATTGAACCATCTGCTTTCTCTACAAACTCTTTGGGCCTGTTTCGTCTCTGAGGTGATGGAGGGCCACCCTTCCCCCTGGTTTTGGGGGCAGCTCCAACACTTTCAGTGGGCTCCATGCCCATCTGCATGAATAAGTTCTTAATCCTATTGACATTTGAGCCATATTTCCTCCCCCTGCTCTGAGAGGCCTCTCCTTCCTCTTTCGTTTTTGGGTCTCCATCTGATTTCGGTTTGTCAAAGGTGCTTTTCAGTGCCTGGAACTCAGTTCTGTAAGCATTCCTGTGAGGAGAGGCACTTCGGAGGGTTGATCTTTCTCCCGAAGACTCCGTTTTCATCATGTTTACTTCAGGAGAGCAGAACCAGCTCACATAGTTTCCACAGAGCCGCACTCAAGTGAGCCGTCCCAGGCCGGGCTCAGGCGGTGCTGCCCCCTGGCAGGGCCATCCCCAGCAGGGCAGGAGGCAGGGGCTAACCCAGCTCGGGCACAGCAGCACAGCCCAGGCCTTCCCAGAGCAGCGGCAGGCTCAACCTGCAAAAGAAAGTGGGGTGTTTTCAATCATGCCATGCACTTGCTCCTCTTTTAATCTAAGCCATTATCTCCCTTTAGTTATCTGACGTATTTACTAAAAATAACGTAAAAAATACACCCTAATGACACACAAACATACGAGAACTTTCTCACTGCAAACTCGGTGTTCCATAGTGTGAGAGCGGATTGTCATTTCCCAAGAAGTATCGTGTCACAAACACACACGCACGGGAAAGGCAACACACTATGAGAAACATCGCCACTTCTGTTATTGAGCTTTTCTAAAAGTAAGACATCGCAAACGTCTGAGTTACACACATAAAACTACAGCAATATATATACAGTAATGCAAAGCAATCCGTGCAAACGGCTCTGCTCCCCGAGGCAGTCCGCAATCCGCGCTCTTTCAGAGGATCGTAAAGGCACGAATACCATCACGCTCAACGCGCGTTCAGGGGCTCTTCCAAAGCAGAACCGGCAGCCCGAGGGAACCCGCCGTTAGCGCCCTCGCCCGAAGCGGCGCTCGGGGAAACGCGATCCCCTCGCACAAAGTTGCCCGGTGCCGAGCAGCGCCGCGGCACCCCGCCCGGCCCCGCGCAGCCCGGCCCGCACCCGGGGGCTGCCGGCCCGCTGGGCTTCCCGCCCGCCGCAGCTCGCTTCGCGCCTCCGCCGCCCGTGCGCGCCAGCCCGTCTTGGGCGCTGCGGGACGGCGGCCGCCGCTGCCCGGATCCGAGCAGATGGAGGCCCCGCAGCGCGGGCGCGCACCGACCCGCTATCGGCGGCGACGCCGATGGAAAGGAACTTAAAGCCGAGCGGACGGCTCGGAGCCCCGCG